TGGCACATGAGAGAGAGAGAGAGTTCTTCTTCTTCCTCTTCTCAGTCCACCATCTCCCTCTCACCCTTTCGCTACCTGACTTCACTGCATCAGCAGACTACGAGAGAGCAGGATTGGTGACATTTGGTCCAGACTCGACATTGGGCTTCAGACATTTGACGAGGGATTATCTGGGACTTGTACCGAAGACTTGGTGTTGACGACATTCCCATCTTCCCCCTCTTCTTCGTCTGATCCCCTCCTCTTCGTCTGTGTATGGTCTGGTCCTGGCGCATTCTTCCTGCGTGAAGCGCCAGGGCCCTTCACACTTTGTGATGAGGATGATGTGTGTTTAGTCTGTATTGCGACATTGATTGGGCTAGTCATCGGTATTCTAGCATTCCGCTGCACTGTCTTGTACTTCGTGAGAGAGGTCAGTCCCGGTCAGGTCAGGGCTTATATCTAAGTCTTCCACTGCGCTACAAAGTGCCATTTGTATGTATCAGGATGTACACTGCTTGTTGAGATTCCACTAACATCGCATTGTCCATTCAGTCCTTTTTATCACATTGCGGATCCTTGGCTTTACATACATTGCCCAACTGGGCATGCAACACCTCCCCTTGCTCCCCCTAACGCTACCCCTCATCACTATCATTGCCATCATCATCACCGTCGTAATCATATCCCCTTCCCAGCCCCCATCATCATTAATTGTCATCATCATCATCATCATCATCATCATCATCATCATCGGCATGATCATCGTCATTCCTATCCTCCTCCCAAAACCAGACACAAACACTCCCACTCCCCCTGCTTCCCACCAACCACAGCCCTCAAACCCCTCCACATACTCACCAACAATTCAGTCAAAGGCCACAATCGGTGTATTCAGGAGGCGCGAATCCCTGTGTCTTGCACTCAGGGAACACATGTTTTGCTCCCGTCCGCCAGAATTTGCAGACCAAGTCACCTACCAAGACCACCAGTCAGCTCAACACGAATTTACCTTCGGACATGACAACAGTTGGAAGTTGTGAAGATTTGAATGCGCAAAAAAATTCATGACAAACATGGCATATCAGAAAAAGCGATAGACAGTCAAAACTTAGTTGCAAGGCTCGCAACCCACACAAAAGCAGCAAAAACCTCTTTGTTTTTACCTCTTTCCCTCCCTTCCTTTTTCCTTTACCAGATCACCACACTTTTGTCAGTATCGCACAGAGAACTGTGGGCACTTCTCGAGGAAGAAGGATGCCAATGCAGACCTCATGCCTAGCTACTTCTTTAATTTATTTATCAATCCCCGTCCTTCCCCCCGTCCTTGCTTACCACCATCTCTGTTCGCCTTTCCCTCCATTCTTTTTCTTTTTGTTCCTCTTCCCTTCCGGTCGTCTGAAGTAGCCTGACGACTCTCAGCATCCCCACCACCCCCTTCTCCATCCATGAGCAAATGATTGTAATCATCAGCGCTTGCGAAGGGGCCCTTACGCTTCCCGACACTCCTCCCTTTCTTCTTACCAGCATTCCTCGTCCCTTCCGATTCTGCTCGATGATCCCTATCTTCTCCGTCCGCAGCATCATCACCATCTTCGCATGCTTCACCTTCATCTTCACTGCCACCCTTCATCAGCAAATGCTGCACCCCATCACTATCACTATCGACATCATCTCCAAGCTTCAGCTTGGACGACTTCTTCCCTGTCTTCTGTTGCTTCGTCTTTACGCTCTTCTTTTCCTTCGAGGAGCTCTTCTTCTTTCTATCGCTCTTTCCGTCAGCATTGCCCTGATTTCCTTTCTTGACCTTACCTTCATTACCCCTGCAATCACCATCGTCCTCCTCCTCTTCCTCCCCTGACGATAAGTCCATCTCTTCCTCACTGTCCGAAGCATGAGCATCACTGCTTCCATACATCATGTCGTCATCAAGTGCCGCATAATCGTAATCAGAATCTGACTCCACATCATCCGCCCCCACTCTGCTACCTTCGAGATCTGTCCTCCCCTCTGTCCTCTCTTCTCTGTCCAACAGTTCGTCAATCTCATCCTCGTCCTCGCTAGAATTGTCTCCATCCAGCCGCCCAAGATCATCTTCTGACTCGTCCCCGTCGAATGCCTTCTTCTCTTTCTTCTTCCTTGCACGGCTGGAAGCCTGCACCATTGGCAATCATCCATAGAAGAGACCCGGTGAGTTAATAAGCGCAGACTCACACTCCCACTTTCCTGGATGCAATCGGCCTTAACTTTCACGCATGCTCAGGCAGCATACTCACGCTAGCACTCTGCTAAACATATACTGCCTGCAGTTCCAACCACACCTGGATGCATCTGACTGCAATTACAACAGCACCTGGATGCATCTGACAGCAATCACATCCAGAGCTGATCCGAAGAAGTCCTAGAAGTATGCCCTCAGTCGGTTTAGTACACAATGGGAGTGCGCCCAAGGAGACCATCAGAAGAAGACACGAAGCCCGGCAAGCCTGACACCATATTTGCAGTTGGATTTTCCTGGGTGTAATTTTGACTGCAATCATTTACAACCGGCGTAATTACGTCTCGAGATCAGTCGAAGAAGTCCTCGTGCGAGTATTGCCCTGAGAACAGCAGTGTAGAAATTTCCCCCTTTGGGCATTCCGACCGTCTCTCAAAGCATTCTCTCAAGAGTCGTAACACGCAAGACCAAAAAAAAAAAAAAAAAAAAAAGGGAAGCAAGATTTCCTCCATCTGACGGGCCTTCGGGAGGGAATCCACGCTCACCAGAACCGCATTCCACAGTCCTGCCCTCCCTTTCTTTTTTTTCCTTTCTTTCTTTTTCTGCGAAACTATGCCTGGCCTGCTCTCTGCCAAGAGCAATGACACAAAGATCAGAATAAAACCCCACCCATGTTGAGGGTGGCAGAGGTGAAAAACAACATTAAGCAGACAGTTCTTGCGGAATGGACCTTCATTTTCCAGGTCTGTTGGCGATGGGCAGCCGGACATTTGTTTCTCCTCTTTCTTTTTGTGACGTATTTGTGGTCTGTATATAGCTAGTAGATTTAGAGGCTCAATTAACATCTGTATTCGCCATTTAAAGTCCGATGCATGCCGTTGCCCGGGGTGTCGTCTGATATGCCCGGATGTGTTTGGCAAGGCCGAGGCCTTCGAGGAGAATGCTTTTTCCTTTTAGCTGCGGATTGCACAGATGCTTATTTTGCTGTTGTATATTGGGATCCTTGCCTTGCTGAGGGTGGCATGGTTACGGCCAAAGGAAACAGTTTACCCTGCATTCTTTTCAATGATGTGAGGGACGCCGGACCCATTTTCCGGTTGGTATAATTCAACACCAGCCGTCGTATGAACCTGGCCGGTGTGCCTGGATTATTCGAAACTGGCTGCACTACTAACAAAAAAAAAAACAAAAAAGAAAACAAACAAACAAAGATCAGAATAAAACATCTACCATATTCTGTTCTTTCGGTTCTTTTTCCTTGTACTCATGCTTGCTGGTGACAAGCAACCGGGCTGACGCTCCCCTCAATAGAAGGGGCTCCGGTGATTCCAAAAAAAACGAAAAAAAAAAAACAAAAAAAACCTAACCATATAATAATAATAATATGGCATATATGCTTCATAATGGCCTGTCTGCTTTTCCATTCGAGTCTTCTTTTCATTTTCGACGTTCTGGTTCTTTGGTTCTTGCTTTCAAGTTTCGACAAAGAAAAGCAAACAGAATATATCTACCATATTCGGTTCTTTCGGTTCCCCTTTTCGTTGTACTCATGCTTGCTGGTGATAAGCAACCGGACTGACGCTCCCCAAAATAGAAGGGGCTTGGGCGATTCAAAAAAAAAAAAAAAAAAAAATCATATATGCTTCATAACGGCCCGTCTTCTTTTCCATTCGAGTCTTGTTTTCATTTTTGACATTCTGGTTCTTTCGTTCTTGCTTTCAAGTTTCAACAAAGAACAGCGAACACAACCTTTCCAAGCTAAAGATGACTTCATCACTGTCCCTCTGTTCTTGCATTCCAGCCTGGCATGAAGCTTTTACAAAGAGAGAGGTGCCAAACGACTCCGTCGATATTAGATGGGAGTCATCACAGCCTGTTATCCCTGGCATACAAAGTGAACGTAGCCATGTCCAGCAATGGAGTGCAGAATTACGGCATACTCACACTACGGGGGGGCTTTTAAGCTTATTTACGGTATACAAAGTGAACGTAGCCATGTAATTGCGGTCAGGTATGGTCGTAAATGTGGACAGATACAATTAAGATAGAACACGTGATGCTAGTAGGCCCTTAGAGAGGAATACATAATTGCAAACCAGTTTATTCATTATGCTTCTTTATGATCGTTCTAAAAATGAACTACTTTTTATGGTTCGTCGTCAAACAGTTGGAGAACAGTTGAGTGGGCAACAGTGAGAAAGGACATTAATGATTAAACCAATGAGCATATGATGGCCAACCAGTTCATTTATTATGCTTCTCAGCGCTCATAGGACAGTTAAGAGAACACTGGAGTAGGCAACAGTGAGAAGGGACGGTAAAACAACCGGCCTACATTCTTCCCCCAAATACAACATACGGTCGTTATAGCTGAATTTGGGGTATCTTTCAGTCTAAATTCAGCTATAATGACCGTACATTGTAGACCATACATTGTATTCGGGGGAAGACTGTAGCTCAGTTGGTACGCCCATGGAGTGTCAAAATATACAGACCTGAGGGCATACTCACACTAGCACTATCTTTAATGCATCTGACCAACATTATGTATCTGGCCGCAATTACATCCAAAAATCAGTGACAGAGTCCTAGTGTGTGTATGCCCGCAGTTGGAATCCTCACAGAACCAGACAAAGAAGTTCTGAATTACCCGCAGTTGGCCAGTTTGACGATGACATCGTGGTTTTGTCGGGTTTTCAAAACAGGGGCGGGGGGAGGAAGGGAACAAATAAAAAAAAAAGAAGTTACATGAAGACAGAAACGGGGACATAAACCACCAGAACACAACCCCAGCAAAGTTGAGAATCACGAACGAGCCTCTCCTAAAACTTTGGAAGCTTGTGACAGGAGCTCCGAAGGGAAGGTGGGAAAAAGAACGTTGCCCATGCCTTGGGGGGGACCAGGCGTAGCACTGAACAAGAAAATAAAAAAATTCTTCCCACCCCCAGGTGCGCCCTGTCCCAAGTCCTCTTAGCTTTTCGGAGAGGCTCGTTTGTGATTCTCCGGATGTACTGGTGGTTTAAAAGAGAAAGCAGAGCACTCAAGTAGCAACTACCTTTGTGATGTTTGCATTATAAAACTTGTGAAAAAAGACATCCTCTGCTGCAACATCTTGCTGTGCCATCCTTTGAAACTCCTTGCTTCCAACCTGTCGAACAAAGACAGCACAAAAAAGCAGAACACACACAAATGAACACACACACACACACACACACACACA